CACAGGGCACCCCATTTTAATCTTCATGCCCTTGCTGTGATCTGAATGCTCGTGGCCTGCCTTCCCATGATCTGAATGTTCCTAGCGTGCCCTTCCCATTCTTTGAGTGCTAATAGTGTGCTCTTCCTGTGATCTGAATGTTCATAGCATGCCCGTCCATTATCCGAATGCTCATATGGTGTGTTGTTCCCATGACCTGAATGCTCATAGTGTGCCCCTCCCATGACACAGATGTTCATAGCATTCCCTCCCCATGAACTGAATTCTCATATGGTGCACGGTTCCCATGATCTGAATGCTCATATGGTGTGTCATTCTCATGATCTGAATGCTCATATGGTATGTCATTCTCATGATCTGAATGCTTATATGGTACATGGTTCCCATGACCTGAATGCTCATACGGCGTGTCATTCCCATGACCTGAATGCTCCTATGGCGTGTCAGTCCCATGACCTGGATGCTCATATGGCATGTCGTTCCCATGATCTGAATGCTCACACGGCGTGTCATTCCCATGACCTGAATGCTCATACGATGCGTGGTTCCCATGACCTGAATGCTCATACGGTGCGTGGTTCCCACGATCTGAATGCTTATATGGTGTGTCGTTCCCATGATCTGAATGCTCATATGGTATGTGGTTCCCATGACCTGAATGCTCATATGGTATGTCGTTCTCATGATCTGAATGCTCATAGTGTGTCCTTCCCATGATCTGAGTCTCATAGCCTGCTCTCCCTGTGATCTAACTGGTCATAGTGTGCCCTTTCCGTGATATGAATGCACGCTCAGCTACATCTAAAGAAGCCATGCATAAGCATTTTCTCTTGAATGTTGTTAACAAAACAAGACTAAGTGAGGCCACTTTCTGTATCTTGGATTCTCACTCAGTAGTGCTGCATCCTGGAAATCCCCCATGGAGCTCCAAGCCCTCCCTGCTCACAGCTGGACAGTTCCACGCTCTGGGTCATAGCCATGGGCGTCCCCTTCCGTGTTGCAGCCTCTACCACAGCGTGGATCAGCAGAAGTGACACTGCCAGGCTGGAAGGCAGCTTTAACACTGCTGTGCTGGCACTAAAGAATTCTGTGACCCTCACAGCAATGACTCCGCACGCTCCTTACCCCATCCACACTCGCAACAGCGTTAATTGGCTTTTTCTCATTTTTTTTTCTGCTTGTTTGGTGGCAAAAAGCGACATTTCATTCTTACATTAGTTGCCTGAATGTTACTGAACTTTAAACTTGTCCTTTTTTTTGGCAATTTGTGTTTGTTCAATGAATGATCTATTCCCAGTCTTTGTCCATGTTTCTACTATTTGACTGTTATGACTGATTTTAATTGCTCCTTTTCCACTCTAGATGTTAACTCTCTGTCTCTCTTACACATATTTTTCTCCAGCCCCATCAATATAGGAACTGTCAGCATGAAGCACTTTATAAGGCCAGGTCTTCTTGTGTGTTGATGGCTTCTAAGCTCAGGGTCAGTTCCAAAATCTCCTTTGCTCCCAGGTCAAAAGTGACCTCCTGCGTGGGACGGCAGAGCGGGTCTCCATTCATCTTGCACAGAGGACAGTAGGGGCGCGTTTTACTCCCATGCAGATGCAAGACCAGCTACCCTCGTTCTCCTCACAGGCCTACATTACGCTTTGTCGCAGGAGAACTGGGGTCTGGTTTGGGCTCTCTGTCTTCTTTTATTAATAGATTCATCTATTCTTATTGACGATACTGTGTGGACTTGATCATAGCGGCCTTCTAGTGTATTCTATTACCTGTCGAGTCAATACTCCATCACCAGTCTTTTCCGTAGTTTATTAAGGAATAAATGAATAATGGAATTTGTTTCTTCACGTAAACTTTAAAATTAACTTATGCATTTCAAAATAAAAAAGCACTATCATTATTATTCTAGATGAAATTGTATTTAATTTATACATTCAGAGAGAAATAATCTTTTGTCAGATTTTTTGTACATTTAATGATGTTTTACAATTTTCTTTTTGTAGATGATATGATTATTTTGTTAAATTTACACGCTTGATTTTGAGAAACATTTTCATTATTATGAAATGGATTTTTTCTTTCATTATCATTCTTGGTACTTTGCTAAAGAACAAAACAGAAAGAAAAGAACAATTTTATACTTTTCCACAGATTGAAGACACTTTTTAAAGAAATTTTATCAATATTTTAGAATTTTTAGATGTTGTAGATATCTAACATAGCATTAAGAAAAAGAGATAATTTTATTATGTTTTAAATCTTATTATTTTATTTTCTAGACTTTGGTCTAACTGAGATGATAGTACTAAGTATCAATAGTGATAGTGTTTCTGCTGGTCCTTAATTCTAAATTAAATAGTTCCATTGTTTCACTGATTGAGATAATATTTGTTATTGCTTCTGCATTATATTTTAGCAATTCCAATCTATTCTATTCTATTTCTATTGAACCCGGAATGGTAATAGTAAATTTTATATTTGCAGTTTAAGTGCCTGTGATATATAATTTTTCTTCTTTAACTTGTCGATACCCTGGATAATATAACCCTGTTCTCCAACACGGAGCCATTCTGTGAATAGATTCCATTTGGCTGTGGTAATCACTCTTTTGATTGGCGGCCCTATCTGGCTTTTATTATTTTATTTTGAAGGGATATTGATCAGTGTGCTCTGTCCTTGTCCTGTTGTCATCAGAGGCCAATACGAAAGTTTGGCTGCCTCTGTAGAATGCAGTGGGGCCCTTTCCATCCTTCCTATGGCTGAAATCGTTTAAGCAACCTTGGAGTTATCTAACCTTTTGAGATTTGATAGAAGACTGCTGTCAATGCCATCTGATCTGTACATTTCTGATCACCTGTCCATCTCCTCCATCCTCATTGTCCACTGGAGTTTTACATTGTTTTCTTGGAAAAAGTGTGGTTATTTCTATTTTGCTAGGGAGTCATCCACCTGCTCCTCACGTTCCAGTGTGCTGCCATCAAAGTGCATATACAGCTGCTCCCGACTGCTCTTCTCTCCTGCGCCTGAGCCCTGCTCCTTTCTCATTCCAAATGCTGCTTCTGCCTCATGCCCTGCCCTTTCCTTCTCTTCCACACTGGGCTGTGGAGCAGGGCTTTGTGTTTTCCTCCCAGCAGGTTTTTTATTCATAGTTAATTTTAACTTCTGCATGTATTAATTTTAACTTCTGCATGTATTAATTTTAACAGCTGCATGTGTTAATTTTAACTTCTGCATGTATTAATTTTAACTGCTGCATGTATTAATTTTAACTGCTGCATGTATTAATTTTTAACTTCTGCATGTATTAATTTTAACTTCTGCAGGTATTAATTTTTAACTTCTGCATGTATTAATTTAACTTTCTCATTTACTTTTGCTTTAGCTCTCTGTTCCTTAACTGAATTCTTAAAATAGCTACTTAATTTCTTTGTTTTTGTTGTTTTGATGAAAGCAATTTAAAGAGCACAGATTTTCTTCTGAGGAAGGCTTTGCTGTTATGCTTGAATTTTCTTAACAAGCAAGCTAACCTTTCATCAATTTCTAGAGAGACCTTAAGCTCTTTCTAAGAACCTCTTTGAATCAGTGATTAGGAGAGTTTGTAGCTCCTTGCTATTTGTTTGCAATTGTATTATTATTTGCACTCTTCAATTAAATCCCTTATTTCCTCCTTTCCTCCTGCTCTTGGGCTGCTGGGCCTGTATAACATGCAGTGAAGGCACACTGTCACGGTTTCCTGCCTTTCCTACTCTTTTGCGGAATTTCAGCTCCTGCCTGAGTTCCCTGCCGGCCCCACATTCTCAGCTCCTCTGCTCCGACCTGCAGTCCAGCCAGCAGGCCTCCGAGGGCTCTCAGTGGAAGCGCATTTTTAAAGCATGACCTGTAGGCCCTGTGCTGGCTCTGAGCCAGGGCTGAGGGTCTTTGCTGCCCCGACCCCAGCTGACCTTGGGCTCACAGCTGCAGGCCAGGAGCTGCCCAGACGGGTTCTGAGGCATCCACTTTGCTGCTTCACCACTCGGCCAACTCCCCCTCACTGACATTCTTTCCACGGCACCTCCCTGCCTGAGGCCAGCCGGAGCTCCTCCTGTCTCCCTGCGCAGCTCTGCAGGAAGGGCTAACTCCAGGAGCGGGTGGGCTGCAGGCTGGCTGGGCGCACTCCCTCACTTGACTCCAGGTCATCTGTTCTTCCCTAATCCTTGGGGCCCGGGCTGCACTTTGCCCTGAGAGGCGCTTTTCCCTTATTTTCACTGGTAATAATGTCTTATGATGAGAAGGCAGAGATCTTCAGGAAGGGTGTATCTTTCGGGGTCTGTCCAAAACCAGCGATCTGTGATTCTGGAATTGCTGTTTAACCCCTTAAATCTGATAAGGCCCAGGGTAGGCCCTGCCCCGTGACCCTCCCCAGGAAGGAAGCCTGCCGGGAAGGCCACCTGCTCTCGGCGGTCCACGGAGCTCACCTGCGTCCCGCACCGCCGGCTCTTCCCAGGAAACCTGTAAGCCTGGAAAAGTGTTTCAGATCCTCATGTTACAGATGAGGAGATGGAAGCTGGTGACAGCCAGGCTGGAAGCCCCTCCAGGTCTCCTCACTCCCCTCTAGCTGTCTTCACACTAAACAGTGACGCCCACAAAACCCTGAAGCTGTGGGCCCCCAGTGCTCCTAAACCGAGCCTAGGGCACTGGAAAGCAACAGGTCAGCGCTTCCGAAAGTCAGAGAAAAACCAGACCCGGGATTCCATGGGCAGCCGGGACAGGTCTCCGCAGGAGCCAGACTTGCCCGGGCCAAGAGCATCTGAGCTTCGGGGAGGTGTCCGGGAGGTGCGAACTCCAGGACGGCGGCTCCACCCTCTGGGTTCAGCCTCCTCCAAGCAGGAGACACGTGGGGGGAGGGAGGAGCTGGCGGGACCGGCCCCCGCAGAGAGGAGGGGAGGGCAGGGGGAGCTTCTAGAGTCTGAAAAGCGTTTGCGGGGACCGCGGCGACCCTGAACCCCATCTGCCCGCAGCTCCGCGAGGAGGCCCGGCCCGCCGCGGGCTCCGCCTGCCTGCCCTTCTACCGCTCGGCGGCCGCCTGCGGCACCGGGGAGGCGGGCACGCCCTTCCTGGGGAACCTGTCGGAGGCGCCCCCGCGGCAGCAGGTGAACGGGCTGACCTCGTTCCTGGACGCGTCCACCGTGTACGGCGGCTCCCCAGGCCTGGAGCGGCGGCTGCGGAACTGGACCAGCGCTGAGGGGCTGCTCCGCGTCCACGTGCGACACCGCGACTCCGGCCGCGCCTACCTGCCCTTCGCGCCGCCACGCGCGCCCGCGGCCTGCGCACCCGAACCCGGCGCCCCCGGAGCGGCCCGCGGCCCCTGCTTCCTGGCCGGGGACGGCCGCGCCAGCGAGGTCCCGGCCCTGACGGCGCTGCACACACTGTGGCTGCGCGAACACAACCGCCTGGCCGCGGCGCTCAAGGCCCTCAATGCGCACTGGAGCGCGGAAGCCGTGTACCAAGAGGCGCGCAAGGTCGTGGGCGCCCTGCACCAGGTGCGCGGGGTGGTCCTGGGCGCCTCGCGTGGCTGCGCAGAGTCACAGGCCCGTGCACAGCCATTGTGGGCGCCCACCTGGGTAAGCTCAAGGCCGTGGGTGCCTTGCGTGGGCGTGGGGAGGGTCATCGTGGGCTCCTGTGCAGGCGCTGGCGGCCCTCCCCGGCTCCTCTGTCCCACCTGCCCACCGGCCTGCCAGCTAGTGATTATCCGACTGAGACACCAACGACCACAGCCACCCAACAATGGCGCCAGGCCACCCCACTTTCCCCGTCCCACAGCCAGGCTGCGTGCTTTGCGGATTTTAACGCATTTAATAATTCTCATAACAACCCTTTGAAGCAGGTGGACAGTGATGCTGGTGTTTCTGTGTTTTGGAGACAATGCAGAGAATGAAGAACAGACTCTGTGAGGTTTCTGGATTAGCCACTTAGAGTCTATTTGAAACCTTCCTTCATTTTATGACTCTTTTAAGAATGCATGAGGGTCTTGAATGGAGACTCAAGTTGGCCTTTTATTAATTGTGTGATGGAGAAAAGCACTTACATGCCTGTGAAATGCAGCCCCTGACTCTGCAGCCCTAGGGGTGGTCAGGAAGAATGATGGGTTGTTTATATTGAGACTCAACCAGGGTGTCTGTTGCCACAGGCCCTGTAGCAATCTCGGCATGGTCTGTGCCATGCTCACTGGGAGCCTTCGGGGAAGGGCAGTCAATCCTCTTCTAAAGGAGGAGCGGGAGCCTTGTCCAAGGAGGCACGGGGCTGTGTGGCCCCAGCTACGCCGCTGCCCTCCCGGCCGTTGCTGCCCTTCAATCTCACAATCCCCGGCTGCTCTGTGGTGCGTCATGAGACAAGAACGCAGTCAGGTGCTTACTTTGGCGGGAACTTTTGTGTCCTACAGACAAGACAAGAATGAGAAAGGACACCCTTCCCAGCACAGGCGTGAGGGGCACAGGGAAGGTGGCCTGCCCTGGGGAGTGTGGGTGGCGTCCAGGCAGCATGGACTTGGGCTCCACAGGGTGAAAAGATAAAGACGCCCCAAACATCTGGCTTGGACGTTCCCTATGCCCTGGCCGTCAGCCAGCAGACCCAGATGTCCAGGGACCCACAGAAAGTCACCCTTTGCTTTGGCCACATGTGGAGGCAGGGCCAGCCGCTGGAGGAACCGCAGGCCTCCTCGGGCATCCCCATCCTAGGAGGCAGGTCCACATCTCGGGCAGGGCCTGCATCCTCGGCCGCTCGGCTGCTGGCCTTCGCTGTAGCTCAGTACTTTTCCAGAGCAAAGGAGCAGATAGATAAAGCCATGCTTCCCAGGCTGGAAAGAAAGAGAAAGGGTGTTTTCTGGAGTGGGTGCTGTTGTGGCCCCACCCAGCCCCCTTTACCTGCACGGCCCCATCCCCCAGTGGCCTCCTACGTGGGCTGACAAGATCTCCTGGTATAATACTCAATCCAGGGGTAGCTGTGGAGGCTGAACCCTGCCCTACAGGGATGGCCAGGCCCCTGCCTCACGGCTGGACTAAGCCCAGGTGTGCCACTCTGCAGGGCCTGGTTCCTGCCCCTCTTCCATAGGCAGGAACCCCCATAGGCAGTCCTGGCTACAGAGGAGCATGCGCCAGGCCCAGATGTATTAAGTCCTTGGGGAGCCTGGTGCCTGCTCAGCCTCCTCTCTGGAGCGCCCTTAGCGAGCGCTTGGGAGCCCTGCCTCTTACGGACTAACGGGGCATGTGTGAGAAAACTCGGGGTAACATTGTTCTGCACAGAGCCCGGTGGGGACGTTGAGAGCAATTGGGAGTCGGGGGTTCAGAGGAGCCTGTGCCTTGGGCTGCATGGCAGTTTCCCACCACTGGTGAGAAGGATCGCACCTCCAGTCTCTCTGTCCTGGCCTCCCCAGGTGCTGCGGTCCTGGCTTCCTGTCACCTTCACCCCCACCATTTTCCCAAGCATGAACCTTTTGGTCATTCCTGCCGGTGGTTGTGAAGGCAAAGCAATGGAGACTGCCCACAAGTCAGCACCTGGAGGCTTTGGCAGAGGCAGCAGGGACCCCAGAGGCAGGGGTGAGAGCAGACAGGGGGGCAGCCTGAAGCCGCGTGGGGACACGGGGCCTCAGGACAGCACTGCCAGCAGAGGAAGAAGATGTGGCCCACCTGGGAGATGGAGGACAGGAGCGGCACCCGTCAGTGACAATGCCCAGTCTGGCAGTATGGCGTCTGCCAAGTCCATTAGCTCAGAGTAGCCATTTCCCCCACCTGACCAGGTAAAGAAATACCAGGAGCATTTTCAGAAGAATTACTGTGAAAATTCCAGAGAGCTGCTCACAAGATTCAAGTGTTTTCCTTTGAGATAGATCTCCTGTCACCCAGGCTGGAGTGCAGTGGCACAATCACAGCACACTGCAGCCTCAACCTCCTGGGCTTGAACAATCCTCCCCCCTCAGCCTCCTGAGTAACTGAGACTACAGGTGTGCACCACCACACCTGGCTAGCATTTAATTCTTTAAGATGTTTTGTAGAAACAGAGTCAGACTGTGTTGCTGAGGCTGGTCTCAATCTCAGGCTCAAGCAATCCTCCCACCTTGGCCTCCCAAAATGCTGGGATTATAGGCGTGAGCCACCACGCCTGACTCAAGATTCAAGTTTTTAGGTCCCATTGGTCAGAATGAAGGGTCCTTCTGCCCAACCTCGACAGCTCCCAGGGGAGGATGCGGGGTCTGAGCCCAACTGCTTACCGGCGTTATGTCAGGTCAGATGAGGAGCGAGCGGGGAAGAGGAGAGACACACTGTTCAGAGCTCTGGAAAGCGTGGACACTGAGGATGCACAGCATCCACGAGGCTCGGCTGAAAAGGCGTGGGTTTGCTGTGTGTGAGCAGCTGGCTGGGCACGGGTGGAGCTGCTGAACCTGAGGCTCAGGCAGCAGGAGTCCCTGCCTCACAAGTCAAACTTCAGGTAGGCAAGAAGGGGAAGAGGTGTCTTCCTTAAAACAGCTTGCGCTTGAATTTGAAACTGCCTCAGTCCCTGGGCGGAAAAGAGAGAGGCCTTTTCCTTTCTAGTGTAGTGAGAAGACACTGAAGAAGAATGTTCCAGGGAACAGAGGTGCTGCCTGAGTTCTGAATGGGAAGCTCATGGACCTCCTTATGCCGTTAGGAGGAACCCGCAGACCCCTGTGTGGTTCAGAAATGCCACATACATTGCAGCTGAGGTGGAGAGGCCGTCCCGCCCGGTGAGATCCGGACTCCTCTGGAACGCTGACCCATCACATGGTGCCTCTCACCGATGGAGGAACTAGTGCAGGGACGGAAACCTAGCTGGGAAACGTTTGGATGCAGGCTTTTCCTCCTCATCCGTCCAGGTCTCCGAGGTGGAGCGGGATGGCAGGGAGCAGGTGCGCCCTCTGTGAAAGCCCAGGCCACACGGGACCCACGGCTCTCCCTGGTCTCCCTGAAGGGCCATTAGGTGCTTAGGAAGTGCACTCTGTCATCTGGAGGGAACATAGTACAAGTGTGTAAATAACGTTTGTTATTTTTAACAATCCGCGTGCCTTCCTAAACTGGTAAGCTAAAACAGAAGATTCATATTGTGGAATAGAGTTATTCCTATTGTTTCATTTCGATGTGGCTTATTGACCAAAATACTCCCCTAAATACCAAAACAATTTGACGTTGGTTTTTCTGTCTGAAAGAAACACTGTCAAACCTGAAACTAGGATCTTTGTCCTAATTCTCCTGGGACCACGTGTGAAATCGTGATTTCTGGACCCCGTGACTGCACTGTAATTTCCTGCTGACAGAGGTCTGTGCCATACAACAGGCTTTGGTTTAATCCTCACAAAGGCTCTAGGAATTAGGTATTATTTTTGCTTTCTAGAAAAAGGAACTGCTTCCTGCTGTCAATCCAACCAGGAGTCGAGCCGCTCGGCCTGGCCTGGTGACTGTTGTTGGCTGGACAGAGGCGCTGCCCGCGGCAGCACCATCCTGGGAAGGAGGCTCTCTAGGTAGCCCTATACACACGCCTCCTGGATAGCCATGAAAAAATCAACAAGAAGACCTTTCTGGGAGGTTCAGCTTTGGCCAAAAGTCCAGCTCGCTGGGGACGTCGAAGATGGCGCTCCTCTCCCCAGCCGCCCGACGCTACCCTCCGCTGATACCCCGGGCCTCACTGAGATGCTTTTCCTTTCTTCGCAGATCATCACCCTGAGGGATTATGTCCCCAGGATCCTGGGACCCGAGGCCTTCCGGGAGCATGTGGGCCCCTATGAAGGCTATGACTCCACCGCCAACCCCACTGTGTCTAACGTGTTCTCCACGGCCGCCTTCCGCTTCGGCCATGCCACGATCCACCCACGGGTGAGGAGGCTGGATGCTTACTTCCAGGAGCACCCCGACCTGCCCACGCTGTGGCTGCATGAGGCATTCTTCAGCCCTTGGACGCTCCTCCGAGGAGGTGAGTGGGTGCGGTCCCTGCGGCTGGTCCCATGAGAGCTCCCTTCTTTCCGATGACTCTCTGCAGCCAAGCAGACCTTCCATGTGGGCACACGTGCTGATCCTACACAAGGATTTTAATATCTATGGGGAAAATAAATGTGTTTAAAGCATTTTAAAAGGCTAAACTGGGGCCAGGTGCAGTGGCTCAAAACTGTAATCCCAGCACTTTGGGAGTCCAAGGCAGTGGATCACTTGAGGTCAGGAGTTTGAGACTGCCTTGGCCAATATGGTGAAACCCCCATCCCTACTAAAAATACAAAAAGAAATTAGCTGGGCATGGTGGTGGCTGCCTGTGGTCCCAGCTACTCGGGAGGCTGAGGCAGGAGAATTGCTTGAACCCGGGAGGCAGAGGTTGCAGTGAGTCGAGATCTCACCATTGTATTCCAGACTGGGTGACAGAGCAAAACTCCATTTAAAAAATAAAATATAATAAAATTAAAGGCTAAACTGTTCTATGGTTATGAAAAGCACCATCACTTTAGGATGTTAATGATGAGTTACCTTTGGAAGTTAACTAGAAGCAAATGATCTGATTCCCCAATTCAGTTTTTGGAAAAGTTAATTTTCAGCTCCCCCACTTTGTATTCCTATTCCTTTCCCAGTGCTCTATGTGTCCTGGAAGCTTCTAACGTGTCGCAGAAGTTGATGGCTCCCGGTGTGGTGGGGAGTGGGAGGGCAGAGGTGCAGCAGTGTGTCCAGCAGTACCTGCTTAGATGACAGCTGAGCCAGGCACAGCGTGTCAGAGAGCGGGGCACGCCTGGCCCTCCGCAGCTGCCTGGCCTCTGATGACACCCAGGTCACCCACACAGGATGACGCACATCATGTTTTCTGAGTCATGCCTTTGGGGCACCCTGAGGTCACACTGACCCTTTAAAGACTCTTACGTCATGCAGTTGTGGGTTCACACGCCTTTGAGATGGAGGGTCCCTGACTGGCGGTGGGGTCCGTTTCCATATGGGGCCTTTGGAGATGACGGGAACAGTGGTCCCCAGGCACCCTGGCCACTCCCTCAGCTAAGCCGAGTCTTCCTTTCACTGTTCTGGATGTTAGAATTCTGCAAATGCTTCTTTTTTTTTTTTTTTTTTTTTTTTTTTTTTTTTTTTTTTTTTTTTTTTTTTTTTTTTTTTGGTAATCGTTCCATTGCCGAGAAATAAAACAAAAAGCTTTAAAAACTGGCAGCCTCCTTGTCCTTGTCCAGGCCCCTTTCTTTCTGAGGGTCCATCCCCCATGAGCCACGTCGTCAGTGTCGGCCCAGTGCTTCACCTGCCAGCAAGGGCAGCGTCCTGAGGACATTCAGGAAACTCTGGAGTCACACAAGCTGAGTTCATAAACGTACGCGAAGATTTGCTGAGTATCAGACTGAGATACTGTTTCTCTAGAACTGGGCCGAGAACCATCCTTGCCTTTGCATGGTATTTTGCAGGTGGTTTGGACCCGCTAGTCCGAGGCCTCCTTGCAAAACCAGCCAAACTGCAGCTGCAGGATCAGCTGATGAATGAGGAGCTGACGGAAAGGCTCTTCATGCTGTCCAATTCCAGCACCTTGGATCTGGCGTCCATCAACCTGCAGAGAGGCCGGGACCACGGGCTTCCAGGTCTGCCAGTTCCCTCCCTTGCCTGCCTCACGCAGCTGCTGTGGGATTTCCCCAGCCAGGAACCTGCTGCTAGGGAGACTGATTGAAAGTAAAACGCATCTGCAAACCCAACGCCTTCTAAGCAACCGCTCTTAAGGGCCCCGGGTCACTCAGCTTAAGAGGACACTTCCAGCTTTCCTTAGAGACAGTGGCACAGAGAGGGTGGTTCTGAGCCTCACAGGAACCTGTGGGCTGGGGGGTGAGAAACAGCCAGTCCTCATAGAGGGAGGAGGCGCTGCGTGTGCAGACAATGGCAGGCCTGCGTCCAGTGTCCCGGGAAGCTTCTGGGATGGCTGGGGTGCTCCCTTCCTCTTCTCCTCCCCACCACGGGGTCCCAGGGCCTGCAGAGATCATTCCACCACCTCAGGCCTCCTGTTAATGAACTGGTCCAAGCCGGCCCCTGGCGGGAGTGGCTGCCTGGCCTCTGGCCGGCAGCCCCCTGTACTCCCCACACCCCACCTGGCCCCTGCCTTTCCCGGCCCACACCCCACAGCCTCCTCCCTGACCTGCTCCGTTCCCACACCCCTGACCTCAGGTCCACCCCAGCCTTGCCTCCCCTGGCTCCTAGGGGTTTGGTTGTCTGGTCGACCTGCAGCCCCTGTGCAGGCCCCATCCCCCGACACCGAGTACTCCCTGTGTGGCGCTGACCTCTCCACACAGCTGGGAGCTAGAAGGTCTGATGTGTGGGTGACATGTGAGGGCCTCTGGGAGCTGGAAGGTGCCCTTCTGACGTGTGGGTGACAGGTGAGGGCCCCTGGGAGCTGGAAGGTGCCCTTCTGACGTGTGGGTGACA